GAATTAAGATTGCCGGAAGAAATATCAACAACCTGAGATATGCAGATTATACCACTTTCTGATGGCAGAACGTGAGGAAGAATTAAAGAACTTTGTAATGAGGGTGAAAAAGGAGAGTGCAAAAATGGTCTGAAGCTCGACATCAAAAAAATGTAAGCTCATGGTCACTGTTCCCATCACGTCCTGGCAAACAGAAGGGGAAGATATGGAGGTAGTGACAGATTTTACTTTCTTGGGCTGCACGATCACTGTAGATGGTGACAGCAGCCACGAAATTAAAAGATGCCTGTTTCTTGGGAGGAAAGCGATGACAAACCTTGACAGCATCTTAAAAAGCAGAGACATCCCCTTGCCGACAAAGGTCCGCATAGTCAAAGCTATGGTTTTTCCAGTAGCGATGTATGGAAGTGAGAGCTGGACCATAAAGAAGGCTGACTGCTGAAGAATTGACGCTTTTGAATTGTGTTGCTGGAGGAGGCTCTTGAGAGTCCCCTGGACTGCAAGGAGAACAAACCTATCAATTCTAAAGGAAATCAACCCTGAGTGTTCACTGGAAGGACAGATCCTGAAGCTGAGGCTCCAGTACTTTGGCCATCTCATGAGAAGAGAAGACTCCTTGGAAAAGACCTTGATGTTGGGAAAGTGTGAAGGCAAGAGGAGAAGGGGACGACAAAGCATGGGATGGTTGGACAGCGTCATTGAAGCTACCAACATGAATTTGACCAAACTCTGGGAGACAGTGGAAGACAGGAGGGCCTGGTGTGTTCTGGTCCATGGGGTCATGAAGAGTCAGACATGACTTAACAACTAAACAACAACAAGCAATCACTACAGAAGTAGTTTATTTTTAAAACTAAAAGGCAGGCTGCAGCTACAGAGTTCAAAGATGGAATTGTTGTTCACTGGAAAGATATTAAAAAGTCATTCTTGTGCTAAGAGATCCTTTGGTAGTTGGAGCAGTTGCATTTAGCAAATGAGATGTACCATTTAATACTAGATCTGATGTTAACCAAGTCTCATGCATAAAAATTATATCATGATTTCTTCTAATTTGCAAATATATTATGTCCTAGTTTTTATTTGACCAGCCTGTTGCATACCGTGAAATACATTTTAGATAGTGCTTACTGTAACCAACTTTTTTTCAAAATATTTGGGAACTGTTTACATGCAGCGATGAGATTATAGCTCTGTTCTTAAGCGCTCATGTGTCCCATAGATTTTGTCTTAACAGTAGAGTCTTACCTTCCAGTGTAATTGGAGGCAAGTCTGTTGAAATAAAAGTTACAATACATTTCTCCTCAGATCTTGAAGGAGATAAAATATTTCCATCAGTAATATTTCTCAGTTTGTTAGGCTGACCAGTCCAACTTCCCAAATAGACCATAATTTAGGATTTTATTTTTAACTGGTGTTGTGACCATTTTGCAGTAGAAGTGCTGAAAATGTGAGAGTTTTTAAGATGACTCCTACCTTCTCCATAATAGCTCAAGCATGCTCTGCAGGAGTAGTGTTAGATTCAGAAAGCTTACTGGCAATAATTTGTACTCTCTTTGTAGTATAAGATCTTTGTTTCTGTTTTATTGTAAGTTTTGTAGGATTTCTAGTGCGTGCCTGATTACCAAATTTTCCTTTACTATATATAGGAATATATTCAGATGCTTATGCCTCCACTAATCCAGAAATGGAACATGTTGAAAGATGAAGACAAAGACCTTTTCCCTTTATTAGAGGTGAGTAGTAAGTGGGCATAAGCTGTCTGAGAAGAATTAGAAGAATTTATTTTTGAGTAAGGATGCCAAAAAACAAACAAACAAAAAGACTGTAAGAGCCAATGACACTGGCAGTTAAGTGGCATTCTTCTCTTGGGTCTTGCATTTTCAAACCCAAGACTCTGGTCCATTCAGCCATTTATGAAGGTTCTTGGTGTGACAGTGCATATATTCCCTTTGTATATTAAAAAAAAGCCTTTTAAAAAGAAATCTGTGTACCAAGTATGCTTTTTGGTTAATTATATGTCAAAATACAACCAATGTTCATTTGTGTTTTAGTGCCTATCATCGGTTGCCACTGCCTTGCAATCTGGCTTCCTTCCATACTGTGAACCAGTGTACCAGCGCTGTGTGAACCTGGTACAGAAGACTCTTGCACAAGCCATGGTATGTTTCTGTTCTTAACCGTAAAAGAACAAGGACATTCAATTTCAATTGTGTTTTCAGGCAGTGCTTGCTGTCTAGAGATCTATAACATTTGTTGACCTATGTTGGCCAAGATATATGAAGAGCAAAAATATGTGCTCTACATTGCAAGCATTACTTGACTATGTTTTTTTCTCTTAATTACAGTTGCACAATGCTCAGCCAGACCAGTATGAAGCTCCAGATAAAGACTTCATGATTGTGGCTCTTGATTTACTTAGTGGTTTAGCTGAAGGACTTGGGGGCAACATTGAACAGTTAGTAGCTCGGAGCAATATCCTGACATTAATGTACCAGTGCATGCAGGTGAGACAAACAATTCCCCCCTCCATCCTTTTAGGTCCCAAGTGTTAAACTGTAAAGCAAAGAATTGTTTTGTCCTTTTTCTCTTTTAGGATAAAATGCCTGAGGTACGACAGAGTTCTTTTGCCTTGCTAGGTGATCTGACAAAGGCATGTTTTCAACATGTGAAACCTTGCATTGGTATGTTACCCACCATTTCAATATAGTTCTTAGCAGGTATATAGACTATTGTTGTGTTTTGATATCTGAATATTAAATCACAGACCCAAATTTTGTTGTTTAGCATAGTAAATTGCATTAGCATCGGTCCATTGAATCAGTGGGGATTTAATGAGTCAATTCCTCCATAAGTTCCAGTTGATAAGAACCTTTATCAACTTTGTCCATGGTTTGGATACTCTTCCATCACCTAACATGAATGATACTAAGACATATTCCTTACTAGTTGTAATTTTTGGCTTTGGCTTGGTAATCTAATTAGTACCCATTACCTATTAGGGGAATAATATCTATGCGTTCCATATGATATAAGAGGGGAACGAGTACTAATTTGTAATCACTCAATTACTGTATTGCTATTAGTAGTAACAAAATATTTTTATTCTTCTTCGTGGCCTCTGTGAATGCACACGATAGGATTAAGTCCGCGCCTGTGCCGGACTCCTCGGAACATCCTAGAGCTTAGGAAAAAAATAGAATAATTAAGTGTTGCCCCTATAGCGCATGCTCCGCCCACCCGTAGCCTCAGTTCCATTTTACTGCCTTCGCGCACGGAACTTCTCCTGCTAGAGCTCTCATTGTCTGCCTTTTTCTGGTCTTTTTCGGCTTGACTTTTGGCATTTTAAACGACTACTCTTTCCTATCTGTTGCCCCTTTTGACTCGGATCGTGTTTGGACTATGTTGCTTGCTGTTTTTTGTGATTTTTCTGGCTGACCTCGGACTGTTTTGTCGACTACATTTTGGCTTGTTCCCCCCTCGCTTTCCTGAGCTCGGACTGTTTATCACTTCTCTACTCGGTTTAATCCTTTGGATTGGTGCTGTGAGTTTTTCGCCCCCTTGCTCTCTGATTTATGTCCCCCTTGGGCCACTTTAGGAAGTGCATCTCATGTAGTCGCAAGCTACCATTCTCATATGGCCACGAGTGTTGCTTGTTTTGTTTGGGAAGGGCACATTTATCTCAGTCCTGTAAAGAGTGCAAGAAATTCACGTGAGTGGCGCTTAGAGCGCAACAGCAGAGGTTAAAACTTTTTCACTGGGACGCCACCCTCTCTGCTTCACAGCCTAGTGCTATGGAGGCAATGCCATCCCATTCTATTGCATCCAGAGCAGACGACTCTGCCAAATCTCTGCCTATTCAACCACCTTCTAAACCAGGGAAACTGACAAAAAAAAGTCATCATCGACGTCGAAGGCAGCCTTACCGCTGGTTGATGCTGTTGACAACTCTGCCCCCGGTACATCTAAAGAGGCCCCCGCCCTTAAGTCATCTTCTAGGACGTCGAAATCCTCGACCACGGATTTTTCAAGAAAAAAGAAAGACAAGGCGCCCTTGAAACCAAGAACAGATAAGGCGTCTAAGGGGGATGATTGCCGCTGCCCAATTACATCCATTCCCACTTCACCCCCTCTCCGATTTTGGAAGAGGGTGAGGAATCACAAGTGGGTTGCCTCGGCGACGTGGACTCTTTACCACCCCGGCAAATATTGGTGGTGGCAAGAACGCAAAGCCGTTCGCCCAGCCCTAACCCGCTAGATGGAATACCAATATCTAGTGTCAGTTCTGCCCTTCATAGCCCTGTTTCGACCGGGTGGGCGTCTTCAGTGCACTCTCATTCACGATCCCCGAGCCCAGCCTCTCCACCGCATAAGAGGCCAGCGAAGACAAAACACACCTCTCCCTCTTGAACCCGTCGGCCATGCCAAGAGATTGTCATTTTGCCTTGGGCTTCTCAACGCCGAGACAGGGCTTACCGGGATGACTGTTACCGCATCGACCTTAACCATCATCGTCGACATCAAGGGAAGGACAGTGACTCAGACTCCCTTTCCGAGGATGAGGCTTACCGCTCACATAAGAGGGTGCGCTATGTTTATGCCTCCTCTTCTTCACCATCTGCTTCCCCCCCCCACAACATCAGGGTCGAGGAGCGCCCTGGGTCGATCCACCTTCATGCAAACCGACGTTGGGACACCACAGGCCTAAGCCCAGTCACGACCACAGGTCCAAGTCGTCCATGCAACCTGACACTGCAGGTAGACCGTCTGCACCTGCTCGGGCACCCTCGCGACAGGTGGAGCCCCCTAAGACTCATGGGAAGAGACCTCATCTCTCTTCACCTCCACCTTCCTTACCGGAGGAAATATATTCTTCAGCAGGCTCGGCGGCACCACTGCCCGCCCCATTTGAGGGATTGGATAATGAATCCATCGCAGGTGCCCCATCAGAACCGGGCACTTCAGACATTCATACCCCTTCATCTCCTGAAGACTTTTCATTGTACGTGCAAATGATCTCTTGTATGGCAAAGGCTCTTAAGTTGGACATTGAAAAGCCCTCTCCCCCTACAGATGATCTTGTTTTGGGGATTGTCAATAAGGACAAAGCACCTCCGCTCAGTATAGCATTCATCCTGTCCTTGCTGACTACAATCAAAGAATCTTGGTCCACCCCGGCCACCTCTACACAGATTACCTAAAGGGTGGAGAATTATTACAAAACGCATGGAGAGGATGCAGCCTTCCTGACTAAGCACCTTGTGCCCAATTCAATCATTGTCCAATCTAACCAATCTAAGGCTTCCTCAAAAGCTCAAGTCAATCTAAGGCTTCCTCAAAAGCTCTTCCACCAGGGAAGGCAGAAAGTTAGATGTGCTGGGCAGGAAAATGTACTCCTTCACCACCTTTCTCATCAGGGTGGCAAACTATCAGGCAGCCATGGCTGCGTACCAGCATCAGCTTTGGGAGAGGGTACTGTCTGCCCTCCAAGAGGCAACGGGTGACACCAGACCCCTTCTTCTTAACACCTTTGAGGAGGCGGTCAGTGTGGCAAAACATCAGTTGCTAGCCTCATGTCATTCTGCCGACATTGCATCCAAAGCCATGACATCCTCCATCATCCTACGTCATCATGCTTGGCTTCGGTCTTCTGGCATCAGTGAAGATGCCAAAAATCGTATTGAGGTTCTCCCCTTCGATGCCACTGGGGTGTTCAATGACAAGACAGAAGAATCGATGGAAAGCTTCCACAAGATGAAAAAGATGGCAAAGTCCTATACCATACATCAACAACCCAGGTTTCAATCCTACCAATGGTGCAAACCTTACAATACCCAGCATTACTTACCATCTTCATTCCAAACTTACCGGTCTTTCAAACAGCAGCCGCAAACCAGACTTCCTCAGCCCTCATCAGCATCCCCTTCCTTCCCTGCCTTCGCGCACGGAACTTCTCCTGCTAGAGCTCTCATTGTCTGCCTTTTTCTGGTCTTTTTCGGCTTGACTTTTGGCATTTTAAACGACTACTCTTTCCTATCTGTTGCCCCTTTTGACTCGGATCGTGTTTGGACTATGTTGCTTGCTGTTTTTTGTGATTTTTCTGGCTGACCTCGGACTGTTTTGTCGACTACATTTTGGCTTGTTCCCCCCTCGCTTGCTTTCCTGAGCTCGGACTGTTTATCACTTCTCTACTCGGTTTAATCCTTTGGATTGGTGCTGTGAGTTTTTCGCCCCCTTGCTCTCTGATTTATGTCCCCCTTGGGCCACTTTAGGAAGTGCATCTCATGTAGTCGCAAGCTACCATTCTCATATGGCCACGAGTGTTGCTTGTTTTGTTTGGGGGAGGCACATTTATCTCAGTCCTGTAAAGAGTGCAAGAAATTCACGTGAGTGGCGCTTAGAGCGCAACAGCAGAGGTTAAAACTTTTTCACTGGGACGCCACCCTCTCTGCTTCACAGCCTAGTGCTATGGAGGCAATGCCATCCCATTCTATTGCATCCAGAGCAGACGACTCTGCCAAATCTCTGCCTATTCAACCACCTTCTAAACCAGGGAAACTGACAAAAAAAAGTCATCATCGACGTCGAAGGCAGCCTTACCGCTGGTTGATGCTGTCGACAACTCTGCTCCCGGCACATCTGAAGAGGCCCCTGCCCTTAAGTCATCTTCTAGGGCGTCGAAATCCTCGACCACGGATTCTTCAAGAAAAAAGAAAGACAAGGCGCCCTTGAAACCAAGAACAGATAAGGCGTCTAAGGGGGATGATTGCCGCTGCCCAATTACATCCATTCCCACTTCACCCCCTCTCCGATTTTGGAAGAGGGTGAGGAATCACAAGTGGGTTGCCTCGGCGACGTGGACTCTTTACCGCCCCGGCAAATATCGGTGGTGGCAGGAACGCAGAGCCGTTCGTCCAGTCCTAACCCGATAGATGGAATACCAATATCTAGTGTCGGTTCTGCCCTTCATAGCCCTGTTTCGACCGGGTGGGCGTCTTCAGTGCACTCTCATTCACGATCCCCGAGCCCAGCCTCTCCACCGCATAAGAGGCCAGCGAAGACAAAACACACCTCTCCCTCTTGACCCCGTCGGCCATGCCAAGAGATTGTTATTTTGCCTTGGGCTTCTCAACACTGAGACAGGGCTTACCGGGATGACTCTTACCTCATCGACCTTAACCATCACCGTCAACATCAAGGGAAGGACACTGACTCAGACTCCCTTTCCGAGGATGAGGCTTACCGCTCACATAAGAGAGTGCGCTATGTTTATGCCTCCTCTTCTTCACCATCTGCTTCCCCCCCCCAACATCGGGGTCGAGGAGCGCCCCAGGTCGATCCACCTTCATGCAAATCGACGTTGGGACACCACAGGCCTAAGCCCAGTCACGACCACAGGTCCAAGTCGTCCATGCAACCTGACACTGCAGGTAGACCATCTGCACCTGCTCGGGCACCCTCGCGACAGGTGGAGCCCCCTAAGACTCATGGGAAGAGACCTCATCTCTCTTCACCTCCACCTTCCTTACCGGAGGAAATATATTCTTCAGCAGGCTCGGCGGCACCACTGCCCGCCCCATTTGAGGGATTGGATAATGAATCCATCGCAGGTGCCCCATCAGAACCGGGCACTTCAGACATTCATACCCCTTCATCTCCTGAAGACTTTTCATTGTACGTGCAAATGATCTCTTGTATGGCAAAGGCTCTTAAGTTGGACATTGAAAAGCCCTCTCCCCCTACAGAGGATCTTGTTTTGGGGATTGTTAATAAGGACAAAGCACCTCCGCTCAGTATAGCATTCATCCTGTCCTTGCTGACTACAATCAAAGAATCTTGGTCCACCCCGGCCACCTCTACACAGGTTACCTAAAGGGTGGAGAATTATTACAAAACGCATGGAGAGGATGCAGCCTTCCTGACTAAGCACCTTGTGCCCAATTCAATCATTGTCCAATCTAACCAATCTAAGGCTTCCTCAAAAGCTCAAGTCAATCTAAGGCTTCCTCAAAAGCTCTTCCACCGGGGAAGGCAGAAAGTTAGACGTGCTGGGCAGGAAAATGTACTCCTTCACCACCTTTCTCATCAGGGTGGCAAACTATCAGGCAGCCATGGCTGCGTACCAGCATCAGCTTTGGGAGAGGGTACTGTCTGCCCTCCAAGAGGCAACGGGTGACACCAGACCCCTTCTTCTTAACACCTTTGAGAAGGCGGTCAATGTGGCAAAACATCAGTTGCTAGCCTCATGTCATTCTGCCAACATTGCATCCAAAGCCATGACATCCTCCATCATCCTACGTCATCATGCTTGGCTTCGGTCTTCTGGCATCAGTGAAGATGCCAAAAATCGTATTGAGGTTCTCCCCTTCGATGCCACTGGGGTGTTCAATGACAAGACAGAAGAATCGATGGAAAGCTTCCACAAGATGAAAAAGATGGCAAAGTCCTATACCATACATCAACAACCCAGGTTTCAATCCTACCAATGGCGCAAACCTTACAATACCCAGCATTACTTACCATCTTCATTCCAAACTTACCGGTCTTTCAAACAGCAGCCGCAAACTAGACTTCCTCAGCCCTCATCAGCAGAGAGCTGTTCTCATGTCCTTCCTTCAGTGGCGACCCTCCTCCGGTAAGATGGCTTGCTACTCACCCTATCGTGTGCATTCACACAGGCCACGAAGAAGAAGAGGTTACCTACCTGTAACCATAGTTCCTTGAGTGGACCTCTGTGAATTCACACATATGGGTTTAGTCTGCGCCTGCGCTGACGTTCTCGGAGTATTCTAGAGCTAAAAGTAACAATTTTATGGGATGATCCCCCCATGAGGCACATGCTCCTCCCACCCAAGATTCCCCTCAGTTCCTGCAATTTGTCCGCCGGGGACGAGAGTTATACAACAGTAAGATACCCGTGACGGACAGAGGGGAGGATGGGTGGGTAGTGTGAATTAACAGAGGTCCACTCGAAGAACTATGGTTACAGGTAGGTAACCTCTTCTTTTCTGTTCTTATTTCCCTCATGCACCCTCGCAACACACTCCAGATCACAGCTTAATGGTTTTTGTAACACAGAATGAGTGCTACTAAACTGCTTTCTTTTTGGATTCAGAGTTTTCGTCAGGGATCTTGTTTCTGACTGATGGGGGAATGGGGGATTGGTTTGTGTGGGTTGCAGCCTGTTGTCGGGAACTGGGAAGAGGAGTGAAACATGCAGATGACACTTGCAGAAACCATTCAGGAAGCACAGCTATCTGGCTTAGCTCATCCATGATGTAATCTGTAGTATTGTTTCTAGTTTCTGATTGGGATAGCAGTGGGGATTCCATTCCAGAAAAAGGGATTAAGTTGGGAGTTGCCTCAGGGCTGGTGTAGGATCCCCTGATGGTAGAAATGTGTTTTCTTTGCACGTCTGTCATAGGGTGGAGGATTAGTGGTAAACATCTCACTTCCTTTTCAGCAGAACTTCCTGCTGTGGTTTTAATTAAAACAAGACCAACCTTCAGATGTCCAGACACTTAAGATTATATCTCTGCCACTCCCATTTCAATAACAGAACTTCCTTTGTTTGAAACAGAGCTGACGTTTACTGTTCTGGATTGATTCTCTGATGGACTTTTGACTTTTAACTTGGACCCAAGTTACGGGGTAGGAGTATGGATATCTGGAGGATGAAATAGGGACAGATCTTCATGAGAGTGTTCAGTTAAAATGAGACTGTATTGCAGTGAAACTACATATATTAAGTTCTATCAATTCAATTTTTGTTAATAATATGGCCTTTTAACGTTCTTTTCAGCTGAATTCATGCCAATTTTGGGAACCAACCTAAATCCAGAGTACATTTCTGTGTGTAACAATGCCACGTGGGCAATTGGAGAAATTTCTATTCAGATGGGTAAGGTTTATTTGTTCAGTGGTAGTTTGGGTTTTGAATCATATGGAATTACTTTTGGTCCTGTTACTAGTTAAGTTTTGCTGAGACTTAAATTCTCAGTTGTGCTAATATGTATATGTATATATGTAAGAGTGAATGAATATATATTTTTAATGGATGGTTTGTTTTCTTTTCTAGGTATAGAGATGCAGCCTTATATTCCTATGGTCTTGCACCAGCTTGTAGAAATCATTAACAGACCCAACACACCAAAGACTTTGTTAGAAAACACAGGTACCCTATAATGGAACAGTGTGCTATGAATGAAGTTATGATGATGTATGTTTTTGAACCAGGTTATTGAGAGCTACAGGTGAACTATGTCAAAGTAAAAACTACTCTAGATAGTTTTGCACCTTGATGGATAAATAGGGTCTGTTTTTATTACACAAACCAAGAGAGCATTAGGCTCCTAGTTTAATTACTAACATATGGTTCCAAACACACCTAAAAGTAACAGAATTTACTTGCCTTGTGTGCATACAAATTATATGTGTGTAAATTGCTAACTTTCTAAGCAAACTATTTTTAAAACTAACTACCTGAGTGTTAGTCGTATATAATGTTATAAAAGTTTCCAGAGAAGTAGCCATATCAGCCTGTATTAGCATATTGGCAAAATTAAAGGGGGGGGGGAAGCCCAATCATAGAACATTGTGGCACCTTAAAGACTCATAGTTCTGTTTCAGTGAAACCTTCTGTGGATCACCATCCACTTCTTGTATCCAAGGAACTGTATGTTGATCCATGAAAATTCACACTGTATCTGTTAGTCTTAAGCAGAGATGGGGGTATTCGTATATGAATGCAAATATCCCCGCACAGATGGTGTTAACAAGGGTTAACGATCCACTCACCGATCCACCGCGGACAGTGCGATTCTACGAATGGCTCTGCAGCGCGTGATCCGCTCGCTACTCCTGGCAGGAGGCAGGAGTACAAGCCTCCCTGGAAGGTCGAAGAGTGATGAGCGGATCACGTGCTGCGGAGCCATTTGTAGAATCACGCCGTTCACGTCCGCATCAGATTGGTGAGTTTGATCAGTGAGAGAGACCGTCTGGCCCCATGGGGCTGGACCCTCGTTAACGCCACCTGTGGGGGGATATTTGTATTCCTATACGAATACCCCCATCTCTAGTCTTAAGCAGGGTTCCCTCTAAGGTGCACGGCTGCGCAAGCGTGCATGACTCCGCCCCCTCTCTGCGCAGCATTCCTCCTCCTCTGCTCACTCTTAGTGAGCATTTCCAGTCCCTTTGGTTCTGGTCGCGGTGGGGGGGGGGCGGATTCCCATCCAGCAGGGCTCAAAATATGAGGTAATGTTGGTCTTAAGGTTTCATAATATGTTATCATTTTTCTTCTTTTTAAATTTGCCAGCATATGTAAACTTGCTTTAACTAGCTTAAATAGATTGTTTTGGTAAAAGATCTGCTAATCATCTAATATTGGTTGCAGAGTGAGGAGGCCTTTCAATCGGACTTTTGAGGCTTGTCTTGCATCAAAGCATGTCTTTTTATTTAAAAAAATCTTAATTTTTTAAAAAAATGTTAGTCATAACTTCTCAGACTGTCTGCACTGTTATCTGCTACCCAACCCATTAATGCCTATTTATAGTCAAAATCGTTAGTGGTAATGAGCGATTATCTGGCTTTCAGTCCAGATACTGAACATTTTGTTGTGAAGTTTACGGATGCTGATGAATGTCAGAGTGTGTTCTATACAAGTTTGTTAGATGGCTAGCAGAAATATAAAAGCTGTATATATTAGACTGAAATGGGAGATGTTACTGCTGTGTAGAAAGTTAACTCCATGGTGTGGTGATCTGGCACATTATAGGTATTGCACTATTCACACTGAGTTTGCAAACAATTTTTGTCTTATGCAGTAGTAATTTTAAACCAAAGAACCTCCTGAACAATAACAGAGAGTGAAACCCAATACCATTTCTCTCCAGTCTTTGGTGCATTACCTGTAGTGCTGGCTTCTTACTTGCTGCAGAATTTAAAAGACATCAGATCCCTCACTATTGCTTTTAAATAAATATGTGACAATATGGTATTACAAATATATGTTGAATGTGTTGTACTTAGGTTTGTTGTGGGATATTCTGCTGTGTACTACAGTATGTTATGATATTTGAAATCTTAATACAGTGTGTAGAGATCTAGTAAGCCTGACACATTATGGCCATTTTTTAAATAAACGTTGTAGGAATGCCTAACAAAAACAGGCTGTGCAGTCTGAACTCTAGTTTTTATTCTCAACCAGTCCAAAATGTTTTTTATAAACTTCTTAATTGTGATAACTATAATTGAATTAATCATATCTAGTTCTGTACCCTCAAGTAATTTGCAGATGCTTGTATTATTTAATATCAAAGCCTAATAAATGCAACAAGTAATTTAAACACAAAGCTGAATATTCTGTTTTAGCTCTATGAATTACAATGAGTCTCTCTCTATATAACCCATTTACAATGTTGGTATATCCTACACCAAATCTCATAGTGAAAAGAGCATCATCTGCTTTACTGCATGTGTTCATGAGATTGTTCACAAATGCCTGTTCTGGAGTGTTGCATAATGTCTTTTAAGCATAGACTTCTCTGCTTCATATAAATCTGCTGGATTTTGGTATTCATGTAGTTTGCTTCAAATAATCCTTAAACATACCCTCTCTCTCCCTTTTCTGAAGAATTTCTCTGTGAGCTGAGAGAACACATACATGGCCTTTGTCCAAACAGTTTCTCCACACGGACTAGTGTCTCTCAGATAGCATTATGTTCAGAAGGAAGAGGCCACTTTCATCTTTCTGCCTGGGTTTTGGCTTCTAAAAATGTTTAATAATTGGTTTATATTGCAAGATAATGAAATATGCTATTACCTTAATATAAAAAGATAGATAGTCCACTGTATTTGGCTTTAAATTACAAAAGAAATCAGGCATTATCAAATAGATTTCAATTTTATTTCTCTACTCTGAAAAAACATGTATCTTTTTAAAGTTTTGAAATATCAGATTCAAAGCATTAAAAATATACCCCTTAAAATTTTGATTACAAATACTAGAAATAAAGATGAACTACTAGATACTAAAGATATCAAATATGCCACTGAATTCATAGTATTGTCATAGATTGAAAAGTCTGCAAATGCTAAGTTAAAAAGAACACTTGGATTTTAATCACGGCCTTGATGTTCTCTCATTCACTGAATCCCTTTTTCCTTTATTCCCTTCCCTCCTCCAAATAGTATGCCACATGTTGCTGCCCCTTATTTTTATGGGTGGTAATGAACAGCACTGGTGAATTCTTATGTTTATTATCATACACAGGTTCTGTTGGTTTCTGTTTCTGAGTTATTTGTTGTTTTTTCTTTATTTTTCTCCTTCCCCCCTCATTTGCTCATGTCTTGGTTGGCGTTTGGTGGTGTATAACCGTGGTTGCGTTACCTTAGCAATAACAATTGGTCGTCTTGGTTACGTTTGTCCTCAAGAGGTGGCCCCCATGCTACAGCAGTTTATAAGACCCTGGTGTGTATTATTCAATCTTTTTTTTATTCATTTTTCTCCACTTTCTTCTTTCTTCCTTTCCTCTTTCTATCTCACTTCTAGATATATTTTTCAGTTGGTTACAAAAATCACTATTCTTAATCATTGCCAACCATGTGACTAATCTTGTCCTATCAGGTTTGTGAGTTTTAGCAGTACCGTCATGTATATAGTTCATGTGGCTAACAACTAATTGATGCATGGGATAAGATTGTCACATGCTTGATGTGTTAAAGCTTGATTATTAAAGGCATTTTAAAATCCACCAGAATGATGAAATGCATGCAAGTAGTGTAAAATGTTAAACACCGCATTACATTATTTCAAACTCATTTGCAATTTGACTTGCTGTCTGAAATATATGTTTATAGATTTGTATTAAATAGCTTGCTTGCTGCTGTAACAAGTGAGAGATGTTATTGGTATCTGACATATTTTTTACTGTGGCAGTATATACTGCTTTTAGCAATCGAAGCTCATATATATATATATTTTACTAGAGAGAGAAGTATTTAATGGAATACAGGTCACTCTCAATATTTGTTGTGTGGTAGAAGAAGGAATATGGAATTAAGTTATCTGATGTACAAAAGATTTGGGCTTGAAATCAGGTTAAAAGCATACAAAGGTGGGAGCATATAAGAAATATGTGTTGCATAGTTCTTAAGCATGTTTTCACTGTGACATTTATTCCATCAAATACTGTAGGAGCTCAAACTGGAAGCATAGAAAACTGCTCTAACTCTTGATTTTTTTCTTTCAGGTGCACATCTCTTCGAAACATAAGGGACAATGAAGAAAAAGATTCAGCATTCCGTGGAATTTGTACCATGATTACTGTCAATCCTAGTGGAGTAGTCCAAGTAAGTTTGACTTTGTAATTGGGAAGTTTATCATAAATAAATAAAAATTCAAATAAATGTTACTTCTTTTCTGCAACTAAGAGTTGATTTTTGCAAGGGGCATATTCTGGTAAAAAGTTCTATGATGTAATAATGGTAGGCAGAATGCAACCTCAGAATTGCTTGGTGAAGTCTATAAGGCAGGCGTATCTCTAGGACATTTTTTAGAGAACTATGATTTAAATTATATGTCATGGTACTTATCACAGACTGGAATACAACATATATTTAGAATGCTGTTTAAATATGTATGGTGTGATAGGCTTTTGCTCTTGGGATTCCATTCATATGATATTAGGAAGATCTTGTAATTTTGTATCTTTTTGGAAGTATTAACATTTTATTAAAAAAATTGGCTGAATTAAAAATCTTTCTCCTCTTCTGTTACTCATAGCAGCTAAGTACCAAACTGCTCTGTAGTGGAAGTGGGGGGCAGGCGGGTCAGGGAACCCAGGCACTTTCCTCTTTATGAGAATGGCACACAAAATATTTGGGCAATTTCAGTAGTATCTGGCTCAACAGAAGATTGAAGGAAATTAGTTGTTTTATTACATTTTCATCTGTCTAATAATGAGTTTTTTTTTGTGTTTTTTATCCTGCATCCTGAAAGCTGTTAGCTGTGGGTAGTTAGTATATATTTTTAAAATATGTAAATAAGATGTGAACTCTTAGGTGTTCACTACTACTACCCATTTTTGACTCAGAAAGGTGATTTTAAAAACTCTGAAAAGTCATTTTTTTACAATATGGCTGGCAACTCCATATAATGCAGCTCGTGTTTTATCTGATTCTTGCTTACAGGTGTCATAGATTGTATCCACCTTTATTTCTGAAAAGAATTTTTTAAAATGAAGAGAAATTCTCCACTATTCGTTCTTGGATGTTTTTCTGCCAAAAAAAAAAAGAAAAACATCCCTGCAGGATTGGAAACAAGGCAATAGGGAGGAGGAACAAGATTATGTTCAGCTCCCCTCCTCTAATTCTCCAGTTTAAGTCCTGCCCCCAACAACTGACATTGTCTGTGGAGACGACAATGGGAGACACTATTTTTAAAAAAGAATAACCCCATGGTTATTCAAACATTGATGTGTAAGAGAGAGCTATGATTTTTATTTGGATTGTGAAATGTCAGGCTTCTCCAGTCCTAGATCTTTCATCCAAATATATATTCTCTGAATGTGTCAGTGGAATTTACTTCCAGATGAAATGCCAAAAAGGAACAATGGACAGTTTTCAAATTAGATTACCGTATTTTTCTGTGTATAAAATTACACTTTTTCCTAAAATAACTAGAGACAAAATTGAGGGTAGTTTATACATGGAAGGCGGTGGTAGGAGACGGCGGCGGAGCAGCCACCTCTTGCAGCTGCCCATTGACTGCTGCCTCCACCGTCCAATCACTCCTTCCACCGCCACTGGCAGGGCTCACCTCCAGTTCACGGCGCTGCCTTGTCTCCTGCCTGAAGCAAGCCCGCAAGTGGCACTGGATGAGGCGATTCGGCGGCGGCAGTCAATGGGCAGCAGTGAGAGGCAGCCGAGCATGGCTGCTTCTTTGCCTCAGTCTCCGTCTCCACCTCCTGCTGCAGCTGCTGCTGCAGCTGCTGCAGTCTCCTCCAGTGCCACTCGGAACAGGAGGTGGAGACTGAGGCAAAGGAGCAGCCACGCTCGGCCGCCCCTCATAGCTGCCCATTGACTGCTCCTCCGCCTCCGGCAAGGGTAAAAACTAGGGGGTCGCCTTATACGTTGGGGGTTTCATTATAAATGGAAAAATACGGTATTAATATATTTAAACCTACTCAACCATTGTCCTAATATTTCAGCTTGCATGTGTGTTATTATGCAGGTTGCACTCTTGTAGACAACGGCTGCCCATTCAATTTGAGTGAAGGAATCAGATTGCTTTTGCAAAGGTTTATCTCCATAGATATCCTGCCAAATTGGAAGGAACAAGACAGGCATTTTGTAATTGCTTAGCTATTCAGCTAAAAGTGTCTTATTTCATGAAACATTACTTGAAAATGGACTATGGCCCAATCTGGGCAGGTTATCAGAGGGGATAAGGAAAAGTGGTGGGGTGAAATGCAGTCTGTTGCTTCAACACTGAAATGTTTAGTAAATATAACTTACGTTTTTAAAAGGGAAAGCTTTTTTGGACCGATCAAAGCACATAAGATTGCATGGTGTAAGTCTGCTGTATTTTCTGTGGGATGTATTCCTAGATTAGTAAAAACAATATTGATTTTTCTTTCTTATTGCAAGGATAAATCAGAAGAGTATACATTTTTCTAGAAAGCATTGCTTTTAGGTCTGTTCATTTCTAACATGTACATTTTATAAAAATTTGCAGGACTTTATATTTTTTTGTGATGCTGTGGCATCATGGATTAGCCCAAAAGATGATCTCCGAGACATGTTCTGTAAGGTAATACATTTCTCAAGAGGCTATATTATATAAGAAAATCTATGTAAGCAAATGTGAATAAAAGTGGTTTTTCAAAAGTGATAGAAAACAGTGTAGTGCATTCTGCTCTGAAAACTGCCTGCAGAATCACTAGCAGAGGTTTCATAATTGGTGGTGATTCCTGCCAGTAGGAGAGCTGTTGGATGCCTCCTGTGAACAAAAAATTAAGGCATACAGACAAGTCCATTAGCATTCTGCTCTCCTTAGCTCAGATAGTGAAGTGATGGCATTTGTATACTAGAGGAAATGAATATACTCAGTCAAAGGAGGTCATTGTGTTCTTTTTCCTCAGTATCCTGGGCCTCCTCTTGTTGTTGGAAGGAAAATAAATAGTAACACAGTTTGACTTTGCTTTTGAAAACTAGTTATGGTTGAGGAAGCTACACATTTTGATTCTAGTGTATAACTGGTCCATACAGATAATAGTTTGATGCTGTGCTTTCAGTATAGTCTTCCTTTGAGAGGTGCATTGGCTTAGGCTTCAAATTTCACTTGTCTTAGAATAAATGTTTCTGCTCACCTGCAGATCCTTCATGGATTTAAAAATCAAGTTGGAGATGAAAATTGGAGGCGTTTCTCTGACCAGTTTCCTGTTCCCTTAAAAGAGCGCCTTGCAGCTTACTATGGAGTTTAACCTCATATATTCAAGCTGCAGTACAATAATTAGAGGTAAGTAGTTCTAACTGTCAGAAAGTGTTCTGTAGCCAGGTGACTGATCACAAGTGTATGTCACACTTTCTGCTATATTAGAGTTTCTGTGTTCTGTTTACTAGAATGTCAGTTCTCTCCTTCAGACCTGTTTGACAAGTCAGTGGGACAGTTTTATTTAGTGGCTTTTATTGTTTGTTTATTCTTTCTCATTTTAACTGTGCCAGAAATGATACCGTGTTCTGGCTCTGCTGTATACATCTTGGATTAAATGTGATTTTGAAAGGTAAAATTAAGTTTTAAATTATTGCTATCTTCTGCTAGGTTATTTTATTTTATTTGGTGTGGGAGATGATTAGGGCTTTACTCCTCCTGCCAGGACTGAGAGACATGGATCACATGCTACTTTGCCTACCAGAGACAAATCTCCTCCTTAGTACTTTGTCTTTCTCAGTGAAGAGTCAGATGTATGTTTCTCTCATCTGAGGGATTTTTTAAATTACAGTTAAGCTGTTCCTTCTACTTTTGTAACTCTCAACTCTTTTTCTTTTCATTTTTGAAGACAGGTCCTTTTTCTGTTGCTTCCCCATAAAGTCCATTTCCTAGTAAAAATAGGACAGGTTTTCTTCCACCTCCTTTTCCTCCCCTCTTTTCTGTAGATTGAAAGAAACCCTTGAGTATCTATTACCTTATCTTTTGACTGACCAGGAGCACCTTTTTCTTCTGTAGGATAAACTTCAATTGGTCTACATTTACTCCATATATGTCTGACACTAGACACTGATTTAGAACTAAAAATGGCTTCCTTGGCTTTAGATGGGAAGGAATGTAGAGTTGGTTGTCATCAGCACACTGATGGCTGGAACATCAGGATTCCACAGGCCTGCAACCATGGTATTAAACAGGTGTCCCCCTGCATTATGTCCTGGATGCACCTGTCCAGGAAGGATTTGGGTGAGAAATGATCAGACACAAATGTATGCAAAAATCACATGGCTTCAGTGCCAGCAGTCAGAGGCTCTCTGGTAGACTCCTATTTTTGCCAGGGACAAGGAAAGGATTGCCTGCAGAATCAAAATTGACCCACCAGTAGTTTGCAACTTCATTCTTTGAGATTTTTCTCTTGAACGTCTTTTGTTGGCCATCCTTGTAGTTCACAGATTCTGTTCTGGAAACTCCATTCAATGCTACAAGTGCTTCTCAGACCTTCGGCTGAATGTCTCAGATCAGCCACACAAAGACTACTCTTGAACAAAGTAGTCTTTCCATATGCAATAACATGTGGATGGTATCCCGTGGTATCTTGTACCTAGTCTATATTTCATTCAGTTGCTATTTTCTTCTTAGCATTTCTCCCGGATGACATGCAAGTATATTTTCTACATCACAGTCCACAGTCGCAAAACACTCACATCTTTTGCTTTTCTTTTACTTTCCAGATAAGTACTAATCTTCAGGTTTATTAGTGAATGTTATATTTGACCATGGTGTACAGCACTGGTGAGGTGTTTTCCCCCGATAGCAAAATAGTGAACGTTTAGGCATATATTCTGCTTTTTGCACCTACTGGGTGTTGTAAAGCCTGCTTTTAATACTCTCTGCATACCAAAGGCTTTTCTGCTGGTTTAATATTATAACTACCTCATGGAGCTTTCCATGCTCATGTGGCTGTGCTTTGTGATACACCTGCCATTCAGATAGAGATGAGCAACCTCGGGGGCTAATTTTAAGAAAGTGAAAATAAAAGAGCTGATCAAACATCCACTGCCAGTTTTGGTTTTGGAGGTGACTTGCAAAAACTGGTGGTCACAATGCCCATTTAGGTTCTACAAACAACCACAACCACCTGGATCTGTCCCATGAACCCTTGCTATTTCCATGGAGCTTGTCATGCCCGGCCACCACCAGGGCAAGTCCTTCTCAAAAGGCCAATACAGTAGTACTTTGGTTTACGAAATTAATGCGTTCTACGGGACATTATGTAAAGCAAAAAATTTGTAAACCAGAACACGGATTGCCGTAGGAATGGGGGTGGCGCTATAAACCTCCAGGCACAATGCATCCTGGGGAAACTTTCTTTGTAAACCCAAACAAACAAACAAAATGTAAACTGAGGCATTGTTTTAAATGGATTTTCATTTGTAAACAGAAAATTATGTTAACCAAGGCGTTTGTAAACTGAGTTACTACTGTAATTGCATCAGATGCCCCTGTGGAAATAATGAATATCACTCTGTAAGCTTCTGTTTTTGGCTGCATTGTGCAGAATTCTGCCTGTGGAAATGGGTTTATTTTAGGAGTGGGATTTTCAGAATTCTCAGATTTCCAGTCCCAGGAGTTGCCTAGAATCCCTGAAATAGACTTTTGCATCTGGGAAAGAAGGCAAAATATGCCTGCCACCTTTGTCTGCTTCCATATGAATCAGCTGGGAAGAAGGAGAAAATGCCCCCTCAATCCCATTGCTTGTTGGGAATAGTCTTGGAACACCAGGGAGAAGGAAGGTCAAGGAGAAGCTCCTCCTATAGAGATTAATGGGTAGTGAGACCACCCTCTTCATGGTGTTCTAGGGCAGTTCTAAGCAAGCAAGCAGGCAGTTGACAGTAGCATGAATTCTCAGTAAACCGCTGTTGGGAGTTCTTCAGTCAGTAATTTAAGCATATATCCACTGTTTTTCTGAAGAAAGTAGGCATACTCAAAGGCTTTCACGGCCAGGATCTGGTGGTTGTTGTAGGTTTTTCGGGCTGTTTGGCCGTGTTCTGGAGGTTACCCTACCATAAGGAGGGTAGTATTGCTACCCATTAAGCTCTATAGGGGGAACTTCTCCATGACCTTCCTTCCCCATGGTGTTCCAGGGCTATTCCCAACAAGCAATGGGATTGAGGGGGGAAAACCTCCAGAACACAATCAAATAGCCCAAAAGACCTACAACCACCAAAGTAGGCACAACTTCTCTTTCAAACTTTAGTTTAACTTCAGAGTTAAAACTAGAGGTGGAGACTGCCGTGAGAATTGCTAGTCATATGTTTAATGTCAGGAAATCTCAAGGCAGAGGTACAGCATTTTGTGTCAAAATAACCGCAGTGCTCTGAATTTTATCATAGAAATGCATGCTGGTGAAACAAATGATTGCTACATGTTTTTTGACTCCATTCAAATATTATGTTCCTGCTACTAACACTATTAAATTAGTTAGCTTTCTTTCTGGACCCTAAATTTGTGAATTATTTGCTTCTTACAGGTCCTTCAGTCTGGAAGACTAGGAGGGAGCCTCTGCACCCAGGGAAAAAATGTTACCCTTTACTGGGGGGAAGGGTAAACCAGTAGGGAATACAGTACTATCCCAAGCCTACTGGGAGGGGCGGGAGGGAGGTGTTGCCGTCACTGTATTAAGCTGATGTTGGGAAATGTTTTAACATCTGGAGCTTTTGTGGGTGGAAATCTGTCTCCTGTTACAACTCTGCACTGGATGTGAAGAAGCGCAAAAAAAAAAAAAGTCTATTTACAACAGCTCATTTGCAATATTATGGGGAACTGTACCAAAATGAAAACTATAAAATTGAAACATAGGGAATGTATAAAGAGGAAATACATTGTGTTCATGTGATAAAGGAAACTGAAGAGCGAGGATTACAGATAGTAAAAGGGGTTGTAACAAGGGGTTTCTGTGTTGTTTCATCTTGATGGGATTCCTAGGTATTGCATGTTGATGAAGAACTAAACGAATGAAGTTAGTACAGTTAAGATGAAGTTTGCTAGTGGTAATAGGAGCAAGCCCTTGCAGTGTACACATTTACATAACCCCATAATAAAGTAATAAAGGTTAACACGAACAAAATGAAGCGACTTGCAAGATGCCAAATGAGTCACTCCTTTTCATTTGGGGGGATGGGGGGGAGGGTTGTTTTAGAAGAAAAACAAATCTTTAATTTTACATTAAAATTTAAAAGGTAGTGGATATGATTTGATGGTTGTAATTCATTAGATTAATTTCTAGAGTAAGGCATAATTAATGTGCAGTCTAAGGTTCAGGCATGCATTTTGGATCATAGTGATCAAGCGTAATTTTGGTGGGAAAGTAGCATGCTTGCATCAAAGAGTGAGTGGTATACATTTACTTAAGTTGCACCAGTTTTGTGTTTCAGTTTACCAATTCAGTATAACCCTGCGTTTAAAATTCCTTTAAAATTCTGTGGATTTTATTTTTATGAAGAATATAGGTATAAAATGCTGTAGTTACAATTAGGCCTCAAAATATCTTTTTAGGATCTCTTAGGAATAAGATTGATATTGTATTGTGTAACCTGCACAATGTGGAAAGCTGATATAGCTGTGCAAAGTATTGCCTCTGTGCTGTCAGTGTGATGTGCTTTCTGCATGGTTATACTACTAGTGATTTTTATCAAACCTTCTAAAATGAGTTACATGGTAAGATCTGTTTAAGGCTACATAAATGTTAGTTGGCGCATAAAGACAATTGTAGAAAATTGATGACATGATTGCTACATTTCAGTGTTTATTCCCACAAAACACATTATGTCTATTATTTTTCCTCTCTCCCCTCCCCGAAAGCATGACCTTAAGAGATGCATACGTTAGTAGATGTAAAGCAGGGTGCCTATATCGTGTTGGCGCATGTTGGTGGCCCGTTGTATCCTAGAGAGAGCACACAAGGGTGCAAGTTAAAAGCTACAGAATGGAAGTTGGTTTGGATCCTCTTCATTTCATTTGTTTAGCTTTTCTGTTTTTCCCCTCTACTCATTTGTATTCCGGTGAATAAATCCTTGTTAAGTTAACCCTTTACTTTTCTTTCCATGTGTATTTTCTTATGTACTGTGAATGTGAAAACCTAACTGGTACACTTGATCTTGCGTTACTATAAAAGTAGAAGTTGTGTTTAATTTAGATTGCATAAAGAGTATCCCATGATGAAAGAGGAAAATGGAGAGAAAATAACTCTGCTGGTCAGAGATGAAGCCACATTTTCCCATTTTCCCTTAAGTGCTGCAGTATTAATCCGTGCAAAAAAAACAAAAAACAAAAAAAAAGGAAAAAAGAAAGAAAAAAGCCATAACAGCCGCCTTACATTTTAGCTTCTCATCTTTGCATTGCAAAATTAAGTACTGGATAACAATTTTTGTAGGGACTGACTGCATGATTTGGATTTTTTAAGGTTGTATGGTTTAGCCATTGCACTGAAATTCAGTCTTGTATGAGTGTGGATTTATAAAATCTGACTTCAGATTTTTGTTTAATGCACGGGGGCATGCACAAGGCTTATACATTCCTTTTTTTCACATCACAAATTTGAGTGATTTAATATGCTTGAACGCGACATTTTTAATACATATTCTGTACAAGAGCATATAAAGAATGAAATTGATTATAGTACACCATGAAATTCACAATTCTTGGATTAAGTTGCTGTTCCAGAAGCCAGAAGTGTCTCTTTTGGCTAAAAACCCATAGTGTAGCTTTTACAATCAAATGGGGAAAAAAAAAACAAATTCCCAAGAAATAAATTTTAACATTTAGTAAGGGTGGAATATGCCCTAGATGAGGAGTTTTACCTTACCTTTTGGGGTGTGTGTATGTGTGTGTGTATGTGTGTGTGAACAGTGCATTAACCCAATTTCCAGATGGGAGTTCACTAAAATACAAATGATTTATTTTAACCCATGTGAACAACTAAGTTGCAGGTGACATTAAGGGTTAGCACACTGTAGCCAGTTTAAAAAATATATATGCTTGTGTGTGTGCACATTTGTTTATATATATAAATATATGTGTATAATTTTATTACATGGGTTTATATAGAGAGATGTGACTCTTTTACTGTGACTAAGCCAAACATGCAGAAGAATAAGAAACAAAGCAATATTGCAGTTAAAATGATAATTGTTAATGCGTTCATTCTTCATAGCAAATAAAACCATATTTGTACTGAATATAACGTACTTACAGAAGCCACTTGAGTTAGAATGTGAGGTAAGGAGGTACAACACTAACAGTTGTAAATCAAAAATATTGCATCATGGGATATATAAAGCATCTTTTTTTCATGTTGTCCTGACAGTTTTTGAATGTTGACTGAATGTTGATACTGGTAGAATTGTGGGTTGTCTTTGTTACATTCCAGTGTTCTCTGCCTCTTGGCATGCTACAAGCACGGCTTATTAAATCTGCTCCGTACACAGTGAATAAAGTGCTTAGTGTGCTAAACTACAAAAATAGCCGCTGCTAAGTGATGTAGATTTTCTACTTGAATATTTTTGTTGTAGGAACCTCAGGAGGTCAGTGTTTACTGTTTTTATAGATGCCTTTGTTTTCATGTCTAAGCCCCCCCTCGCTTTTGAAGGATTCTAACAGTGAACAAACCTGCCAATCAACCTAAGTTGGTAACAGAAAGTGTATTTTAAAGTATTTTAAATACATCTCTTTTGCAGTTAAACTTATCTAATACAGTAGGATTTTCTATTAATACAGTTTTTACTGTTAAGAAAAAAAATCCTTTGTTTCATTTCATTTCTTTCAGAATTAGGGGAATGAATACATTTGTAAGACCTTCCTTTTTTAAAAGATTGTTTTCTAAAACGGTATATGCACATCATTATAAGATCTATATACTAATGTAACTGTCTTCAAGCTGACACCCTCTAGAGGTGAGTTGGAAGGGTGCCAAATTGTGGAAGTCTGCTTTAATGCTTTGCACCCTGATTCTTAAGCATATTTAATTTGAAGGCAGTCCTGTTCATTTCAGAGGGACTCACCTTATTTAATTTCCACTTAATAGGGTGCAGTCATGGTAAGATGCATAGAATAATGGATGTTAAAATACATAGCCAATAGGATTTTTTTAAACATAAAATAATTTTAGTTTTGTAATAAATACTATTGATACACACTGTGATAATTATGGTTTTTTTTAAGTATTGGCATGAATTACTTAAGCTACATAAATACTGTGTAATTTAGATTTGTACTACTTGTAAGAGGATTTCCAAAGCTGAAATTTTTGTTGCTATTTGAATAAGAAATATTCATACTAGTTTTATCTCAGGTAAATACTCTTGTACCTTTTTTGTTTAGCTAGAGGCTTCTAATGTGTCTTAAGTGTACCAGTTTGTGTTTCGTAAAAGAACTGCCTAATGTCTTAAATTCTCATATCTAAATTAACTTACTGTGGGACAGCAATGACTTTGCTTCAATACAGGTCACCTATTTTATTCATATTGAATGTATTAACAAAGATGTATAACATTCTTCTTAATAGAAGAATGCATCTGCAGAATGGCACCTGAAAATCATCATAAAGGGTGCTTTATGTTGTGCAGTTCAAAGCTGTGTTCCTGATTTAAAAACAAAACAAAACAGTTTTACTTGGCATAAATACTTCTGATATATTTTCCTTTATAAATGCCTAAGCCTTTTTAGAATAGTATGTGAAGTCTAAAGAATTAACACAGCTTAATGCAGAACTGTGCACTGAACTTTAATGAAGATTAGACTCTCTGCTGCTATAAGCTACTGATTGCAAAGCAGTAATCTCTTAAAATAATGTTGCTGTTTGCATATGAATTTATTATGTATGATGTAAGCACTGGGCTGTCTGGGATACCTTTATCTTGAAAAGATAAATACACATTTAACATTTTAATGCTGTTCTACTCAACACTGCACTCAGATTTTTAGATACAGTTCAGTTCAGGATTATGTCTGTTGCCCAGTTGTGCTCTAGGCTGATAGAGCAAATCAGTGATAGGCTGATCTGAATGAAATCTTAATGCTTGTGGCATTTTTGTCAAGACTGAACTAAAGCAACTCAAGATACTTACATATGTGTGTGCATGGCAACCTCTCAATTGTTACATTGAAGTAAATCATTTGTTTTGCTGGAGAAATGCACTTTTAAAATATGACAGTTAAATTGCAGGTCTGTTCTCAATCTGATGGTATGGAATTTCCCCCTGCTCCCCAATTCTTACATGACAGTTAATTTAAGAGTGGAAGTGTCTTTGGGGTATACACTAAAACTATACAGCCTTAGGAAATCTTTGAGGACACTCTTCCCATAACTTAAAGCTCTCTTTGCCTGCCCTCCTGTCCTTGAGAACATAATTGAGAGTACATCTTCTAGATAACTTCTCTGTCCTAGAATTGTTAGATTTGGATGTATTAACAGTAGTTGAAGTAGCAAAATGGCCAGATCTTTCTGCTGACAACTTAGGTTGTATGCGTTTTGCTTGAAACCTTTACATTGGATGTGTTTTCTGTGTTAGAATATTCCCTTCAAACATATCCTTCAGCAACCTCTCAGCTGTATTGATTTTTCTTGTCTGCCTCTTCTAACACAACTTCATATTAAACAGAATATGGTTTTGATTTTTTGATTAAGCTGCTGAATTCTAAAGAGTTTCTTGGGGCCACCAAATATTTTGGATCATGCAGAGAATATATATTGTAATGTAGTAATTTTGTATTTACATTTGTATGATGTGATAATAGATGTGAATGTTAATCACTGCTTGACTATGTTAATAAAATTTGTTTAAATATAGATGCTGCACTCTGATTCTTAATGGAATAAGAAGGACTTCATTCAGGAATGTTGGTTTGCTGTTAATTGAATCATATACATTTTTGTATCTTAAGAGTTCTGTTTGGGATTAGGAGGCTTCACGGTTTGAAACCACCTATAAGGAGCAGAGTGTAGATTTGATTGTAAAACTACATTCTTGTTTATATTATTGTGTATGCTGTTGAATCCTTGTCTTTGTAGCAGTAAGTGAAATCAAGTAGATATAAAGATATAGGCCATAAATAAATAAAATTTATTTATAATTGGAAGAGGTACAATATACACCAGCACTTAAGACCTATATTAACATATTTTCAATAGAGAGGTTTTGTCATAGACTGGCAGGACAATTAATAGTTTATCCATATCATTAGAGAAGCCAGAAATTCCTGAACTGGTCTCACCCCATTGCATGAATTGTTTTCAAGTAACTGATTGTGAAGGAAGAGGGTATGTCTTTTGCTTTTTAAGCAGAAAATCGGGGGAGAGATGTGTCCTGGATTAGAAGGGTTTGTGAAATGGTGTGTGTGTGTGTGGGGGGTTCTGCAAAGAAGTGGGAGAGGGAAGTTGCTGTAGCACTTTACCATTTTAAAAGCCCCTTTGGTAGGTGTAATAAGAGAATTCTTGGCCTCTGAACTTTTTGTGTATGTACTACTTCAAAAAAACCTTTTCAAAATTGGCAAAACAGTTCTTGACACGTCATGAGCCTATTACAGGCTGCCATTCCTAATTTCAGCAAAATCATGGTCTCTCTGGTCTTTTAAAATCAGTAGATAAGGGGCCAATGGAAAAAAAATGCAGAGGGCGGATCTTCTCATCTGTAATCTAAGTATTGGTGGGTAATGGAAGTTGTTTGTCACAATTAATGCTAAGGGCAGAATTTCGCAGAACCTTGTGACATGGAGCAGCTGGATTTACCATGATGCTTGTAACGGAGAATAGGCTGACATGAAGTGTTAGGAAGACAAGAATTGTTATCCACAGTAACAAAGACTTGAGGCCTTGATTACAGAGAAAACTAATATCCTTAAGATGTGTGCCATCTTAAATGGAAGCGATTACGCATAGTGATTACACAGACAAAATAATTAATTCAAATTTAGAAAAGACAATACCTTTATTTAGACCATCCAAACTGAATGGGACTTTAATTCGTAACCTTTTAAAAAATGAGAATCCAAATTAAAACTAAACCTAAAATAACAAAGCAAGTTATAACTAGTAGCTAAAACCATTTTGGAATTAAAAGTGTTTTGATCTCCTTAAAGGAAGGTGCTAATCATATAGACACAGTGTAACGGTGTTTCACAGGTTTGTAGTGGCAATTAGAAGGCCTTTTCTCTGGTGGAGGGTGTTGTGGCTTCTGAAGATGATGAAACCTATGGGAGGAATTTAGCTGATCCCAGCTTAGAAGAAGTTCATACAGGTATTGGCATTCTAAGTCTGTATTTGATTGTGCAGACCGCTCCAGGGTGTTACAGTTCAAAGAAAGTGATTAGAATTATGTTGGGAAATACACTAGTAACTACTGTTACTGCATCAGCATCTGTGTAATTCTGAATAAGTAACTTCTAAATGTTTTCATGGCTTTAGAACACAATCTAATCAGTGTCTTGATTTCATTATCTTATCCTTATTGACTAGAAATAAGAAAAAATTGCTTGGAAATTGAGATGTAAAGATAACCTGTATTTTGGTGCACATGAAAGAATGAATACAGGAAGATGCAGAGTACTGAGATGATTTGTTGATGATGCAAACACCACTAAGATTTAAATTTAAAATAAACGTGTATAGGCAAAAATTCAAAGTCAAAAACTAGTGAAAAATAGCAGTTCTATAGACAGTTATATTTTTAATATGAAGTTATATGTATATATATATATCAAAATATATTTATGAAGATGGTTATAATATTTCTTTGTAAAGAATTTTGAAGATGTTATATAAATGTTTTGTGAATCTGCCCGTTCAGAACTAGCTCTCAAGTGAAAGAACAAGTAGGGTGGACATTTTATTGGGAAAGTACATTGCATACTCTTAAAAGTTTTTGATCTGTTATATAATACTATATTTTCATGAGAGTTGACTGTTTGCCTATACAGTATGTGCTTGCAGCTTGTTGGTTGCCAAAAGTCATCTGGAGTATGCTAAGGATGCTCTTATCAACCTGCATATGTATGCATTGCTCAGATGGATAAATATCTGCCCATTTTGTTACTGCCTTGTCAGAAGAACAGCAAGTTAGTGAAGGAGGATTTAAATGTGATTAATCAAACTTGAGGGATTGGAGCATCAAGATATATATAAAAAGATTCAGATCAGAGGTCGGCAAAGCATGGCCTGCAGACTGCATGCAGCTCCCAAGAGTCCCAAGTGCAGCATCCTGTTTTTTAAAAACTAATATTTTTCCCCTCTTAGAATTTTATCTTGTGCCATCTAAGGAATTTGAGAGGCAAATGCCATGTTTTGGAAAAACCTAGCACACATCTCAAATGTATGTTGTTTTAAAATTCATTGCTAAAGGTTGGACTTTCTTCAGTTTAAGAAAGTTTTTAAAAAAGAAATTCACTGATGAGCAAAATGAGAGCACAGATATGTCCCTCAAGGTCAAGCATGTGTGGTTGCACATCCTTGCCTAGCAGAAGGATCATAATTTGGTACCAGTGGCATCAGTTACCCATTGGGTGTAGTAGAGTGGTGGACATGGCAGCTAGCAACAGGCAGAACCATTATTAAGAGTACATAAGACTCGCTAGAGGAACTGGAGAAAACAGAGATCTGAGCTTCAGGAAATAAAGCTGCTTCTTTTAAATCCAGTTATCTGCTTCAGTAGAGACTTCTTTTACATAAAGACAAACAGGTTAGGTAAAAAAAAGGACCACATATAAAAGTGAACAATCTAAATAAATATTGGGGAGATAGTGCCACCACTATCCCCACTCTTCACTCATTCCTGCTGAATTCCTCCAGCATATTTTCCCCCCATGGAGGGACATACCCTACTGGACCAGCTATTGTTTGTGACCTGGAAGTACAGGAGCAAAACCATCTAGAGTAGCATGTTCCTCTCAAGCAGAACCCAGACCAGAGCACAGCTTTAGGTTCTTTGTGGCCTTTGTGATTCACACTAATGGGTTCTGTGCCTGTGCAGACATCCTCGGAATCTTCCAGAACCTAGCAAAAGTTCTTATCCTCACAGCTACCATTGCTTTGGGGGCCATCCAAAGCAGTCTTGCTGGTTTTGTAAAACATTTACCAAAGTTGCCATTAAAAACAGTCAATCAAGACTTAGATTGTGTCTTTGGGAAAAGTTGCTGTGCAATCGATACCATCTCAAATAAGACCATGAAACTACTTGTCTCCATTTACAAGCCTTCCACTAAGTCCATTCTAATGGAGTCTTCCTAAATTGACATGAATCAGAACACCTAAGATGAGCTAGTTCCAACCTCATTGGGAGCCTCAAAAATGGTTCCAAAAGATATGGTTTCAACACTGTCCAAATAAATAAAACCTAAATAAAAAAGACCTATCACAGAAAACATAGCCAAAATAGATCAAGGCTGCAACTCAGTGGGGAAAATATTTACTATCTGTAATGATGCACCCTTGAACTCCACAGCCCTTGCCCTCACAGCCAAAATGATAAGGGGAGTTGGTCTGTTTGGGTTTGATATCAGAGGAGGAGGACACTCGGCACCTTCCTCCTAGTGAAGTTGTTCCCAACCTTGGATAATTCAGGTGTTCTGGGACTACACCTCCCAGAAATCCTGGCCAGCA